TCTAAAGCTCTAAACCTCTAAAACCCTAACCTCTCAGGCCCCTGAACACTAAACCATGAACCCCTTTAAGAGCAAACTTTGCCGGGAGCTCGTCTTCCACATTGCCCGCGAAAGGTTTACAGCACGCTTTAGTGCCTCGGAGCCGAAAACTATCAGGTTCAAGAGGGTAGGAGCCATCCTATAGCATTTAGGGCTTAAGGCTTGCAGGGTGTAGTGTTTAGCATGGTTTTTTGGGGTTAATCAAGGTGGAGCATCTGGAAATTGTCGCACTCGACGTCTACATACAGAATCCAATTTGCCAGATGTTTAGCGCTGCAACGGCAAGTGCCAAACTGCTTCAGCTTGCTGTAAAGCGAATGAGTGCATGTTCAGAACCAACTCGCCAGAACTGAGTTGATTCCTATCCAGGCATAAATGGAACCTCCCTTCAGAGCCCGAGCCTACTCAAATGGTTTCAGAGATGAAGGAAGCAAGAGCAACGGATGATGGAATGCACAGGCCCCGACTGCCACATCTCTCAACAGCTCAAAGTAGAGGACATCATCGACACCAGAGGAGAGTAGCTCGCTGTGGCGCCTGTCCCACGATGGAAGCGAAAACATGGAGACAAGTTCTCATCAGTCCGGGTCGAGCCTGACGAGAACCTCGTTGGTCTCACGATTCAGGAGCACCGGCTTCGGCATCAGCAGAACTGCAATGACACAGACCTGCCGGATCAACGTGCATGGGGAGGAGACAAGACCCTAAACCCTAAACCCTAACATAGGCTGACGGCGGTTGATGGCCTTGGAGTTGCTGCTTTTTCTCAAGATGCAAGCTCACGAAGGGCCCCTCGCAGCTTCAATGTTACTGTTGATGAAATCAAGCCTGCATTACCCATAATAAGGAATTTACCATAATTCCCATAGTTTAGGGTTCTTAAGGTAATGCAGGATTTATAACAATCAACCGTAGGGATTAAAATAACTTTCGACGGCCATGGTGGTCCCGTCTTGTCAAGGCATTTCGTCAACGGCCAGGCAATCTCGGGCCTGCTATCAACCCTTGTTTTTCACCGCTGGCAGTGCAACACCTCCTCTGTGTCTGTGCATGAGGGGGGTCTGATGGCACATGTGCATGCACTGATTGCTGCATGTACGATTCTACTGTGTCGGCTGAATGCGAAGTATTCATATCACCTGAACCCATTTTGGACTATGTCTGCATCCGTTCGTTTATCTACCTGTATACCTATACACCTACCTACCCGCCTACCTGTGAATAAATGTACATAGTGTTGAAAAAAGGACTATATACATACACATGTATATATCTATACATACAGACATACACGTATATGCGTATATGTATTTATATATCACACACATTTACATATATATATATATATATAATAATAATAATATACATACTTACTTTTATACAGGCGGGCAGTCAGGCAGGCAGGCACACAGACAGACAGACATAGATAGGGAGAGAGCGAGACAAAGCTAACAACACACGCACGGAGACCACTAGGTCAGGATCTGGTTGAGGTTTTTCTTTCGGCAGTTCGAGGTTACACGTCCGAGGCATTGAAATGTTTGGGTTTGTTTTGGGCCTTGCGCTCCAAGCGAGCAAGTAGCTGAAATGCCACACACGCCTGCGAAAAGTACTGCGAAAACTAAACTGCCCTGCCTGAGCTGAGCGCCGCTGAATCTGAGCCACGATCCTGAGCACAAGCCAAGCCACCAGTGCCAGCAAGACTGGGTAGGAGAACATAGCCCAGTCAATGAGCAGAAACCCAGTCTTACGGAGAGCCAGTGGGAACGCGATTGGAATTCGAAAAATTAGTAAGGTGCGGAATTCATCTGTCAAACGATAGGTGACATGCTTGCTTTTGGCGTTGTTGTCGCTGTTGTCACCGTCGTCGTTTTGCTCTTGTTGTTGTTGGTGGTGGTACGACTTCGGATTGTTATCTCAATGATGCTTCTCGCGTACTCGTACTTGCATTGCTGTTGTTACGCTGCTGCTGCTGTTGTTGTTGTGGTCGTTGGTGGTGGTGCTGGCGGTCGTGCTGGTGCTGATGATGCAGCAGTAACAGTACCAGCAGCAGCAGCAGCAGCAGCAGCAGCAGTAGCAGTCACATTTGGAAAAGTATTTTGATGCTATCACATGAGAAGTAGTAGTCACCGCTGGTTGTACCGTAGATAGTGGTCGCTGGCACTCGTCGTCGCAGGTTTCACTGCTGTGAAGACTTGGCTTGCTGGCGCCGGCGGCACGATGCTGAGGGTAAAGAAACAATACTAAGAAACATAATAAAAAATACCAGTATTGCCAGTATTTACTTTTATAGCAATGATAACAAAACACAATGATACCGATAATGGTATTGAATGTACTACTAAGTAACTACTACGACAACTACTGCGACAAACGTCTACTACTACTACTACTACTACTACTACTACTGCTGCTACTGCTACTGTTACTTCTACTGCTACCGCTACTGCTACTACTACTACTACTACCACTACTACTACTACTACTACTACTACTACTACTACTACTAGTACTACTACTACTACTACTACTACTAATAATACTACTACTACTCCCGCTGATGCTACTACTACTACTACTAATAATAATAATAATAATACTCCCGCTGATGCTACTGCTACTATACTACTACTACTACTACTACTACTACTACTACTACTACTACGACGACTACGACGACGACGACGACTACTACTACTACTACTGCTGCTACTATTGCTGCTGCTGCTGCTGCTGCTACTACTACTACTACTACTACTTCTACTACTACTACTACTATTACTACTACTACTAGAAATAATAATCAGCATAAAAATACAATAATGATACTATTGATAATAGAGATACCAAAATTAATGGAACTATATGTGTATATATATATATATATGGTAAAACGTCTGCTCGAACTACAAGGCTACTGCTTACGCTTACTGTCCCCATTGTTACACTGTAACACACGTCGTAACTAGTAGATTGTGGGCGCTCCCAGTGCCGGGCCTCTTGGCTTGAACCATCTCCTCTTGGTACTCCAGGGTGCAAGGGATCAGAACCTTAACCATGCCATTTAGGGTTTAGGGTTTGGGGTTTAGGGCAGACTAGCTGACTACATCTTGGATGAAAGGACTTGCTGTCAACTTCAGTGCTTTCAAACGGTTCTTGGCAAGCTCCGGTCGTGTACTTGGCCTCTGCACTTGGGCAATGCATCGTCAACTCCCAGAGCCGGTACCATCGTGACACTTCTCTCAGTGGAAAGCCTTGTCCCATTAACCACTGCAATATACTATAACCTACTACAACATGCGATAACATACTATAACAAGCTTTTCCCGATGTCTGGGCGAAATACGCAGAGCTCACTGCCGCGACCCCGGAGACACAAAGTCTGAGGAATGCACATTGTCTGCCCGCAGTAAAGCCTGCGGCTTTTTTCAGTGCAATGGCCTTTTCTGTGCGAGCAAGCCTGCGGTTTTAGGGTTCAGGGTTTAGGGTTTAGGGGAAAGGGGGGCATCACAGTGACAAGATGACAGGCACGAACCTGCTGCAGCCTTGCGAGAAAATCGTAACCGAGCCACCCCAAACCCCCACAGTGCCACCTTCATCGGACAGCCATAAAGAAAGCTGAACAGCACCCCTCAAGGCCCAAGGGCCCTTTGCAACTCTCTATGGCAGATACTCTGAGGCATAAGCCCTACAACCCGGAAACCTAGAAGACCTCGAACCCAACAGCTGATCCACCCTGAAACCCTTAAACTTCACAATCCCTGAACCTACCCTGACCCTCCAGGTACCTACTATATAGGGCCCTAGGGGCTCTAGTACCCTATATAGTGGGTACCTGGGGGGTTAGGGCTATACAAGCCATAAAACCCTAAACCCTAAACCCCTAAACCCTAAACCCAAACCCCTAAACCCTAAACCCTAAACCCCTAAGCCCTAAACCCTAAACCTAAAGACTGTAAGCCTAATATCCGCAGGCCTGGGTCAGATCGCGGTCGTTTAGCAAACCGTCGGCTGCATCCGGCCTTAAGCGCATGAAAGGGCCTGAATAGTTAGAATAGGGTTTAGGGTTTAGGGCTTAGGGTTTAGGGGCCTGAATAGGTAGAATAGGGTTCCTTTGTAGTATGCCTTGAAAGGATCTTTTTATGGCTTCCTACTACAGGTTTTGTGGGTGGTTTAATATAATTTCAATATGGCTTCGGGCTCCTTTGCCCTAGGGAATTGTAATGGCAACTATTTGGGCTTCATGACTAAGCTTGAGTTCCCTTCAAGTTTCTTCTAACGAGCACTTTGAAGGGGTATAGATAGGCTGCATTCTGACTTCAGTGCTTGATCTTTGCACCAGGGCGTCTGCGACCCCAAACCATAAGTTTAAACCCTAATATTGGGACATTTTGTCAGTCAAGGCTTGCCCCTCGTCGGTACATGTCTCTGTAGTCGTACTTTAGGGCCCTTAATAAGTCCAACACACTTTGGGGAACACTCTGTGTAGTATACTTATCATAAGAAGCCCCCGATATAGTATAGTTAATCTTTTCGATCCTGTGGTAATACAGATCATTGCTTTCGGACATCGCAAGGACATGCAAGGACATGGCCCCCAACTTCTCAGAACTCTTGCAGTATTCGATTCGAGGATCATGTCCAAGCTTCATTGTGACCCTTTGACGGTTCGTGGTTTAGGATTTAGGGTGTAGGGAAACTACACAGACACAAATCGGACAAACTTGCTTCTGCAAGCTGCGTCATCCTGATCGTACTTCATCCATAGACGTCAGAATTTTCAAAACATGTAAATCTTTTCTTGGCAATGTGCTTCGAGATGGGTTCACATGTGGCTGCTACACTGTTGAAACTTAAGACCTACACCCAAAAACCTAATTCAACGCCTAAACCAAGGAAGCGATGATTCTCGCTCATTTCGATCCTTGGCGGGCCATCGCGCGACTTGAGCCGGCCCATCGTCAGCAGCTCACGCACATCAAAAACCTGAGTTGTTGTGCAAAGGCGCCCACAACAAGTAGTTGTGAACAAACCGCTTTTCGAAAAACCCTTACGCTGAGCCTACTCAAGACAGCCTCAGGACCGATTTCTGGATAAACACTTCTTCCAGACAATGGCAAAAAGCTTACAGGGACAATATGAGGGCCTTAATGATTAGAATAGGGTTTCGGGGGTTTTACTAAGTACAGTGAGTGAGGAACCCTAAGCAAAGACTATTGTAATTCCTGAGACCCCTCCTAAACCCTAAACCCTAAACCCCAACCCCTAAACGGTTTAGGTTAAACCCAAACCTCTAAACCCGAACCCCTTATCCCAAGTTGCCACTAAGCAGCCGTGAACAGCGAACCAGAGACCCAAAGAGGCCCGGAGATCGACCACCGCTTTTGCACCCGGGGTCCGAAGTGGCGATCCCGAAGAACTTCCTTCAGGCGTATAGGGTCTAGGGTTTAGGATTCAGCGCTTTAGGGTTTTGGGGTTTTAGGGCTTTAGGGTTTAGGGTCTAGGGTTTAGGATTTATGGCTTTAGGGCTTTAGGGCTTTGAGGTTTTAAGGCTTTAGGGTTCTAGGGCTTTAGGGCTTTAGGGCTTAGGGTTTGGGGTTTAGGGTTTAAGACTTTCAAGGACTCAGGGTGCCGGGTTCAGGTTTCACTGAGGGCCAGGGACTTGGGCTGCGAGCAAACCGGGAAGATGACATAAACCGCAAAGCCTATCCAGTCCTTGGAAGGGCTTAGAGTTGAGTTTTTAGGGTTTAGGGTTGAGGGTTTAGGGGTTTAGGGTTTAGGGTTTTAGGGTCTAGGGTTTAGGGGTTTAGGGTTTTAGGGTCTCACTGCCACTAGTTTTGATAGCTAGTCCTACTCATGACAGTCTTATTTCCCGCTCAGTGTTCAGTCTTAACAGTCTGGAGTTCGGACGTTTGCAACGGAGCTGTAGCAACCCTACTATAGGGTTCCTTTAAAGAGATCCTTAAAGGGCTCTATAAGGGCTACTACAAGGGTTTAGGGTATAGGGGCCTTAATAATTAGAATCGAGTTTTGGGGCCCAGGGTAGTATAACTATAGTGTATAACCCCCAAAATAGTATTGGTAACTATTTCGGCCCCTACATTGAACGCAAAACAGAAGTCGAGCGTCGCACGCTCGGGTTCGAGGTTTAGTGTTTAGGGCTTAACCTTAAGGTGGGTGGTCTATGCGACAGCCAGTTCAGTCCCTGCAGTTGCTGGTAACCACGACTTGACCAGCTAGGGTTTAGGGTTTAGGGTTTAGGGTAGCACCAGCATCTAAGCTACCGGTTTCCACATGTTTTCATGACTGCGGCTACAGTCATAAAGTGATGCAATGTGTTGTTCATCACGTTGACCATTAACCAATGAATACTACTCCGATCCCGCTCCTAGCAGGGCAGGACCAGGAGGAAGGAGGAATTGTAAGAAATAGCCCGTGGCAGGTTTCAAGCTTACCAACTTCGCTGTCAACTTGCTGGTAAGATGTTAGGCCTTAAACCAAAACCCTTAAACCGGATGACTCTGAAGCCTGAACAACTTTCTCGACAGTTACGTAGCCCTGACATGAGTAGAATCTTAACTCCTGCACCAAAAACCTCAAAAACCCCATGCCCGTGCCCAAATCCAAAAAAAACGTAATCGGCCGGAGCTGCTCGTAGCCACCCTTGAAGAAGAAGTAGTGGATTCCTTGCTATTATGCATACCCATGAGAGCATGGGCTTTTGATAGGATGTAGACTTCAGGGTTTAGAAGGTTCAGGGGTAGGAACGAGCTCCTATCAGCAAGCTCCTGGCTCCTTTGCGCAGCAGCGATACAAAGGCACCGCACAACAGCTGAGTGATCGTTCCCATCGCATGTCTGCTCACGGCTTGAACGCTACCGTCATGTTCTACAGAAGGGAGTAAGGGTGTCAACTTGTCATCTTTCTCTTCCAGGTGGTTGTGTTCTACGCCTGCGGGAAACTATTCTTCGTTTGGCTTCCTTGTCCTTCGATGTTTGCCGTTGTCATTGATCCTACTTGCATGCGTACTAAGAGCGCAATATTGAAAACTGATGCTACTAGGACTGTTGCACATATTGTTATGACTATATATTCAATCATGACTAGCAACATCATAGTTTTCCCCATCGTCGTCAAGACGCATTTGCTGGCCGAGATCCCCCCCGACCCGGTTGAAAAGGCAACTGGTTCCCACGGAGCTGTTGTCTGTCTCTGGTGTCTGCGCATTACAGCCCATATTCTCAGCAAGCAAATGCTGAGAAGAGAAAGAACAACAGTATCGCAGGACGTGGAGCTTACAGTAAGAGTCATGATATCACTATCGAATTTAGTAAGAGCGCGTCTGTGCTAGCATCGCCAAGCACGAAAACTAAGCCAAGATGCGAAGCATCATGTCGCGGAGCATGCGGGGCAAGGAAGCAGACGATGTCACCTGCCATAGGCCATAACAGTAAGAGTGATTACAATAATAACAGTAGTAACAACAATAACAATAATACCCATAATATCAACCCTCGTACAAACAATAATATCAATAGTAACAATAATCATAACAACAATAGTAGTCGTAGTAGTAGTAG